AATAACAATATGTCTTGAATCCTAGACCTTTTGATTTGTAGTTCACTATATTAACTAATAGCCTGCACCATGTCCCTTAGTTTAAAAAATCTTAAATTGTTTTTGGGTTTTCTTTTACTGTGTTAAGTTTATCACAAGTTCTGTATTATGATGTATCAAATAATGTTCTCATCTGTCGTATTCATACAGATGTTATGATATGGTATTCTTAGGTTAACCTTAGAGATTTGTGTACTAACCACAATAAAAACATATTCCTTAGAAAATGTTGCAAGTTTCCTACCTGACTGATTTAAAAATAGGACAGGACCCAATTTGAGAACAAATGAGACAACAATGAGAACAAAAACCTCTTTACTGTGTTATGTATAGAAATGTCCAATGGACACAACAACACAGGCAACAAATGAAAGGCAAAGTTATATTACTTTTGAATAAACTTTAGTGGATAACAAGAAACAAAATTACACTTACTTTACGATACATTAGTGTACAAACCAAAAACTCTTAACTCGTCTACTTAACTATATTTGTGTCACTGGATGTTGAAAGTTTGCTGGGGTTTAATAGTGTCAGTCCTTGATTGAATGTTATAGTGATTCTTTTCCATGATCCTTTCCGTTTTCCCATTAATTCAATCTGTCATTGGTCCTTTTTGTCTTCTTCCATAGATTGTGAGATTCTTTATTACTGTCCAATAACAACTAGCCAGCCAAACAGTTATCATTTGTCACAAAAGTCTGTGGCATAGCAATATTATCCAAGTACGAATGGAGCTTTTCAGATGTCTCGTTATACATTGTACAGCATTACTATAGCTCATCAAAAGTACAAAGAAAAAATAAACCTGTCTACAATGCAACCTCACTATTTATAGGCATCCATAGAAATACCACCACATTCTAGAATTTATGATACACCTTGCATAATTGCTCATAACTGATTATTACTGGCCAATCCCCATGAATAAACAACACTCAGCATGGGTGGAGAAAAAGCTACTAGAATTTACATACATGTAACACTGAACATAAACAGATGACACACAGCTCAGCCAGACATTTTCCCAAGGCAACAGACAACACATCTCTGTGATATATACAGAGATCTTATCTGCATGAAAACTTTCCACAAAATCTGTTTGGCCTGAGATAACTAACAACCATATAGAAAACAACTGGGTCATTTCTCTCAAAGTGCATGCACTACTACTTCTCTGATGGTTAATTCACAAGTACAAAAGGGAGAATATATATATCCAAAGGGCATCATGACTTGCCACCTTTTCCATAAGAAAGTACACATAACACCAAAGGCGAAAGATCCAGAACAATATGTAACTAAAGTAAGAGCATTAACTCTCTTTTCCCAAAATGACATACCAAGAAAGCCTATGAGAGATAAAATCTGACAATTCACAGTGCACACAAAGTTTTCACCTATCACAATAATAGTAAGGAAAAGAAACACCTACTATTCTAGAAAACTACCCTCTGAGAACAACAGCTTCAAATATTAGCACTTATAATCATAAACTGTCATCATGAACAAACTTTTGGTAAATCTCAGAACTCGTTGATTGTCACACATCATGTCTTCACAAGGGTAATGTTGTTCTCACAACAGACAAATCTTTGACAGTTAGTTGAGTTGAGGACTAATATCTACTACAGAGGTTTAAATAATTACAAAACTGGGATCAATCTTGAACCAAATAAAAAGGTGATATTATTTATCCTCATGTTGTAAGCTCATTCTAATTTTTTATGCAACACAATTGTTCCAGCACTAACAAAAAAAATACAAGTTGCAGACAGAATATTAACTGAAGTCAAACAATTCTTTTTTTTAAACCTGGAAAAAGTTAAGTCTAAAGATAAAACACTATTCAAAAGTGACAAAATGAATAAAATTTAACTGAAGTCTCAGTTTCAATAAACTTAACTTACCATTAAATTCCTTTGTTCACTCTACAGGAATACTGTGTAGCCAGTATCTTGAGAAACCACAAATTACTGTTCAAATTACTATTCTTATGGTACACTGACATAGACAGATTGTAATCTGTTTTGTAAAATCATTAAAAAAAAGGCAAAAACTATAAGATATTAAATTTTCAAGGCAAATTATTTTCAGTAAGATGTTATTATCATCACTTAATCATATAACTCTAATTAGAAAACTGAGAAGTTTTTAATCTACAAATTACCTCAGTCTTCTCTGGTACTTCATCATAGTTCTCTTCTTGTTCCTCTTTTATGACACAAAAGTCATAGGTTGTGTGTGAAGATCTTTCTTCGTGGAAATCAGCTGCTACTGTTGCTAAAGATATAAATAATGTAACAATATGTGACTATGTAGTTTTGGTTACATATTTCCATTTAATTTATTAGCAAACTGTAGAAAGCTCAGATGCAAATGACTGGCACTATGTTTTGCAGGGATGGGTGATTAGTGGAAATTGATAACTGATTATTCATAAATGAGACTTGGATAATTGGAATAATAATTAAAAATAACAATAATTAGAAACACTTATTTTGATTAGCTGATTATTTTCATGAATCATAACACTAATCAGTTAAGCTAAACAATCTTGAATTGATAAAAACTAATAAGAAATCATAATTGATTTTCAATAACCACTAACTGCTCAGCTCTTACCCAAATGATGCTTTAATACATTGTCATAATTAAAGATTTTTTTAGCATTCTTGTATATCATTTTAAGTACATGAACTCAGATGAAGACTGTATTTATTAATTTGCATATTATTTTTAGTTTTGATCTTTATAATTGACTTCTGATCAGAAGATTCTGTTAATTAAATGAAAAGAATAAACATTATAAAGGTGACAAATTGCTGCAATGGTGAATTAAAATTCACATTGCATAAAGTTTTTTCAGGAATAGAAAGCTTTGACAAACAATCACAGCCACAGTTTTCATCTTGTTAACTCTTTCAGCACAGGCTCAGTCACTGGGACCACCCTCGTAACCATTTTGTGCTTGTTATAGTTTTCATGCTATAACTTTTAAATTAGTAAGTGAATGTTAACGAACGTTAGCAGAAAACAAAATTTGGAAGATTATCAGTAAACATTACAATTTTGATATTTTGCATATGAAAGCTTTTTTATTAAGTCTTAAGGTTTATAAAGCAATGTTTTTCTCATGTCTTTCTTTTTCTTTTCGCATGTTGCCTATCTATCATGCAAAGTAATATTCATTTTATGATTAAAAATACTTTTATGCCTCAGAAAATTTTGAAATTTCACCTGCAAAATCTTTATAATGTTGAGATAGTTATCAAATGTTTTCTAAGAAAAAAGTATATCTGTTATTGTCACTAACGAATATCTGTACGGGTTTGGTTGATTTGACCAATCTCGCAACCACCATAAAAAAATTAGGAAATAAATATAAATTATGCCTTTCATTCTAGAATGAACACATAACACGAAAACATAAATGTTTAGACTAAATAGCTTAAATCTCATAACATTATACATTGAAATATATTTATTATTTTTATTATATTGACCTTTCAGCCATGCCTGGCTAACAATACGGAAGTTACAATGACGTAGCTCACATGCACTCATGTTACTGTATCAAATAACATAAAGGTGACCATTTGTCTATACAAAGTAACCTGTCTTGGCTGTGTTTAAGTAGACTAGTATTTTGTAAAATAGTCAAATTTCTATTATTATACTTTATATATATGTATATAGATTATTGCTATTTTGAAATAAGTTCTTAAACTTATTTTTCTTAAAACATAGAACAGTAACTAAAGAAGTAAAGCAAACAATTATCTATTCTGGTTATGACCTTTGTACTCAGTTGCTGCTTGATGTAGGTTGCTAAGCCTTTAAAAATTTTGCACATGGAGGAGATGAAACAATACATTTTTTTAGGTTTTATATATATATCTATACATTTGAATAACTAAAAAATCATAAATTACTACATCAATACCATAGAATTCTACTATAATTTATCAAGCTTAGTAACTAAAACGTATTTTAGTCTAACAAAAATATGACATTTCGAGCAGACTAAAGACATACCGTACCTTGTTGAAATATTGGTTCAAATAAAAGAAATAGTGCCAAGTCTGTTAAAATGGCCGAGAAAGTCACTAGGGGACATTCTGAGTTTCTGATTGGTTATTCATGTCATATATAGAAATAAGTGTATATAAAGGAGCATTTCCAAAAATGGAAAGAGGTGAGTTGGGTGGCACTGTGTTTGATTTATTAAATGAGCAATATCTTAGCAAATTGAAAAGATAAGAGGCTCATATTTTATATTCTAGCTTGTCAATATTGGTAATTTGAGTTTCTAATTCGTTCGAAACTATAGACTTAGTATTTTGACTTCATAAATATCTAATTTGAACCAGTGCTGTATTCAACATACCACTTAACACACAAAAATCAATGTTTATCTCTGTTTTTTTAATAATTGCTTTTAAGTTAAGAAATTGAGTAACATATAGTACTAAATTTTGAATTATAATCTACAGTTTAATACCAAAGTTATTGACATAAATTCATGAAATAGTAGTTCAATAGAATTTTTAATGCGAGTCAACAAATGAGATGACATGGCTTTTCACCCGTGACCCATCCCGAAAGGGTTAAAAAAGAGTAGTTTAAGATCAACAGTTTCAGTTAAAAACTTGTATTGGTTATTTGGTCCTCACATTCTATTAGTTTGAAATTAGTTAGACCAGTTCTTTATTTTCAGATTTTATCAGTTATTCTGTTCTTTCCTTCTTTTTTATTGTGGCCCTCTGGTTGTTTTATAATAAGCCTAAGGACTAAACATTTGGTTTTGATTCCCGTGGTGAGCACAACACAGATAACCCATTGTGTAACTTTGCACTTATCAACAGATAAACAGTCTTTCTATTAAGTAATATTTTATTATAATTTTGATAATGTTGATTTATGTTTAAAAGGTAAAGTTCAAAGTATATTCCTCACAGAAAATTTGCTACCACTACCAAAGTCCCTGATACCAAAGGATGCTTAAGATGCTGTGTTGCCAGAAATCCTTACAATGGGTACAACTACCTCTGTGGAGCCTTGCCAAACGGAATTTTCCTGATGCAGTGGTACAACCCATTAAACAAATTCATGTTGTTAAAGGTGAATTTCAGTTTATATCTGTAAAAGTTATTATACAAGTAAGTTTTACTGAAGGTGAAGGAAGGGTGAGAAAAGTCATCTTAATTTCATGTTTCATATAACTAAATGTATATTATCCACCAAGACAGATGTTATATTAAATACTCATGACATAGGCACAAAGAAAATTTCTAAATGGTTAAACAGTTTTTCTGGTTTGCTTTTTCTAATGGTGTAGGGTTTAGTTATGTTTATGTTTAGATTAAAAACAATTGGGTTAATGATGGATATCTAGTATTCTTCTTCTTTCTTTTTTTATGGTTACTCTGTGTTTTAGTGACTAACTGAAACATGTTTATGTACATTTTAAATCAAAAAATATTTGAGTTGCGTAACCTCTGTTAACCCAGTGAGAATGGGTGAGGGTCAATGTGCACATGACATCATTAATTTGATGTTAGATTTATCAACTTTTCATTTTACCCTACAATGCTCATTTCATGTCAAGTCATGTTTGAGTAGAGAAAATACCAGATACAACATATAGAGATACTGAAGAAAATCAGATATGCATTTAGGAGGTTGTAAAGGTTATGCAAACTGTATGATGTAGAAAAGTATTTTTATTCTGAATCAGACTGACTGTCAATTCACAAACATATTTTAAGTAAAAATACATCAGATTTTAGTGTCCAGCAGACTTATACTGCTTACTGAAAGTTTTCCACTTTTTTGTGAAAATACACTTAGCAAATTATTGGTTGAAATAATGTGAAGTCAAGCACAATAAATCTTACTTTTTTTCATAGTTCATGAGAATTATTCAAACTTGACACCAGATGTTTACATAATGTTTAATTTTTTACCAATATCTATGCAGTTCACTATTCAGAGGCAGGGTTTATGCTTTCATTTGCCAAATCAAAAAGTGTGCATGTGTATCTGTGTATACATACATACTCGTATATATTAAATTTGGCAACACCATTCTTCAGTAAATTTGCTAAGTTACAACATTTATCAGCCATTGCTTATAATGAACCAGGCATAATGCTATTATGTCAATGGGTATGTTTTTATTTAATACTAATAGTGATGATATTTTATATGGAATTATGGTAAGATTTAATACTTCAGGTACTGATATTTGGACACAAGGAATGTACCTATTCCAGTTTAAAAAAATTATATAATCCTGTCTATTAAAGATGAAAATATCTAGAGGCATGGTAGTGACTCCATGGTGAATTGCCTGCCATAACTGTATACAGACTGTTGATCAAAGCTGGAGTATTGTCACAGCAGCTACAAACAATGGAATGCCACTACTCTTTTGTTTCTGAAAAGATCAGAACACTGTTACATCACTTTAAAACGGCAGCTTCATATCTGTTTTAGGTTAACCCTCTCTCTACTGGCACCTTTTTTTGCACACATCACGAAGGTTTAATTAGTTACATTCAAAATTTAATTAAACTACCTTTTTTCATGGTATATCAATAAATATAGCATAAAAATGTAGATGACAATCCATATTTTAATAGTATATAAGTCTTAAGTTCTTATTTTTATAAGGCAATATTAAAAGAAATCTAGAATTTAGTGTGAGAATTTTGACGTTTGCTCTCTAGGCATCCCCTCTTCTCTAATTTATTTACTACCCCTCCAAGAAGCATGAAATCTAATGTAAATTACTTATTATAATGATGTCATTGCTCAGGCAAATCATAATTTTCACACTCTTCAATTTAATTTGGTTACAGAGCCATTAAATAAACAACCAGACCCCTCTTGCCAAGCCCACCTGTCACATCCTCTCTTTCAGAAATTGCCAGTAGTTCTCACTGATATTCAATACTGTATTATTTATAACCAATAGAAAGCCAAGGTTTTCATCTAGAAGTATGACTGACCTTATAAGGATAGAGTTAAGAGAAATAAATTGTTAAAAAGTGGTAAAATTATTTGTACCTTTCCTATTTAAGAGGCAAAAAACATGTAAGTAAACAAAATAGGAATGGCTCAAAACAGAATTCTTAGTGGTAAATATTAATCTAAACTCTGGTTTGACAACTGTATTAAAATATATTGATAATTTTTATAAATAGTTTTTTTATAATTGTTATTGTAAATTGTTATTCATAGCCGAGAGGTTAAAACTCATGACTTTAGAGATTAGGGGCTCATGGGAAATTTGAAATGAGGGAATGACATAGTGGTCTAAGATGCTTCTTCTGTGTTTATAGCCTCCATTGACTTCTGGGATTCTAATCCCATTTTGAAGGGATTCATATTTTTAATTAGCTTAAAGATGATAATTATAAAAATTAATGATATCTGATTGAAACATTTTAAGTCATTAAAAAAATTCTAGTTGCAATAAAGAGGTCAGACATATAAAGATGGAAATGATATCAAAAATTAAGCTGATGCTACATAAAAGAATAAATACTTAAAAGATGTAGCGTAATAGTGAATAAGTTAAGTAAGAGAAAAATTGGGGAAACTTAGCTCCCATTTTATATTTGTTACTGCTTGTTCCAGTTACAATAAAAAAAAGGGGGGGCCGAGTATTCCCCAATATTTTCTTATTTAACTTACCCAATGTTACATCATACCTTTACAGGGTTTGCTCCTTTTATATAACTTTGGCTGTTTTTCGTACATGTAAAATATTTTGGTCAGATTTCAAAAATCAAAATTTTTGTTTCTTTGTTATAATTTCAGTTAATTCATTGTGCAAGTAATAAAGAAATATTAAAATGTATAATTTGTTTTGGATAGCATTTTGAGATTTTTATGCCCAGCAAGCCTGCAGTTTTTGAGATGATCATAACACCGGATTTAGAATATCCCATGGTTTGTGTGGGAGTGCGTAGAGGGTGAGTGACCTATTATATCCTTCTTAGTTAATAATAAAAATACAATAAGTGCTCCATTGACAATAGATATTTTAAGCCCACAAAATTTTTAAAGCACATATTCAAAAAGTTTTCAACTTAAGAAGTAGTGTCTACTGTAAAATGATGAGTTTTACGTATAGTGAGTAATTGAAACTTTGTTGTCAATACAAAGCATGTGAAGCTTGTAATATCAAGTCTTTAAAGCAGAAACAATGTTTGAAAAGCTATGATTAATCATTAATTCCTGTTTCGTAGAAGGAGAGAAAAACAAACCAAGATAATTTCTTGTTGTTTTTAGGCGTGACAAAGGACACTTGAAACTTGACATGATAGATCTTAACTCTGCAGGGAGCTGGGTTAATGATGACAGAGAAGGAACAGAAACTGTTGTCACATGGCACGAGTATCTGAACATTGTCAATGTGTCACACTTGGAGAGAGATACGATTTTAGTGTGTTACGACAGTAAGTATTGAATTTAAACTGTTTTAAGGAAAACCTATAAAAAGTTTAGTTTTTTGTCATTTATAAATATATTTATCTATGCCTTTGTATATATTTAGATACCAAGCTGTTCTATATTTATTTCTACATCTATTAAAAAGTTAAGAAAAGTGAAATTTGGCTACACTTCCTACAAAACATTGTATTTGATCAGTTGCTATTTAACCTGGTAGGAAGAATGTAAACAAATTTCATGACTATCATATTTTATTATTGTTTTAATCATGTAACTGATTGAATGATCTAGACAATTTTTCACTTATTGCATATTTATAAGGATTTTACATGTGTGTTAACAGTATTCAAGTGATTAAGATTAACCCTTAATTGGGCTTTCCTGCTACATTTTCATGAGGATTTATGAGCAACTAAAAATGTATTGTTAAATCAATAACATACTATAATAAGCTTAAATCTAACCATCATAAAAGAAAAAGTACAGTGATTTTAATTGAGTGATAATTAACCTTGTGTTTTTTCACAATACAAACAAATAAAACTTTAAAAATATTACTGAAAGGGCTATTAGATTTGCCACCTAGTAAGAGCAAACAAATCTTTAAGAATGATTTAAATTTTACACAACTGTTTTGTTTCTTGGTGTATTTTATCATTTAAGTTTGCTTTAGTAAGATTAGCTTAGGATCAGTGTTTTCACAAACGTTAGCAATTGCAAGAATACTGAAACATTATTCTCGAGTTAATTATACCAAGAAAAACTGCAAAAGTAAACAAGAAACACTTACAATTGATTATTTAGATGTTTTACATTTTATACAGTTCCTATCAGTTTGTTTCAATTTCTTCTGAATCATTTATAGAGAATTCTAAAATACGTTTTTTCGTGATCTCTGCGCTAATCCTAATTTAATTGCTGTTACTGAATAATTAATTAAACTTAAATTCAATATTAAGTTTGTTTCTTTATTTAAAGGTATTTTTGTTGTTTATGTAATATTAAACAAGCTTAACTTCTTACGTGTGGTTTTATGCTTGTATAGATCTTGTAAAGGTTGTAAATCTTCAAGGGAAATTAAAATCCAGTAGAGCACAACCTGCAGAGCTGCAGTTTGATTTCCAAATAGAATCTATAGGTAAGCCAGAACGTTTTATTTGGCTACGTTACGTATTCCAATTTCGAATGGTCTGAAATTGAGTTAAATGATACTTTAAATTTAGTAGTTAAATTGTACTTTGGATTTAGCAGTTAAGTAGAAGCTGGTATATAGTCAGCTTATGATATTTGCCAACAAAATTGATACACACAGTTTTCTTTTTTAACACAAACATGTTTTAATATACAAACAACAATACAATTTACAATAACAGTTATTACAAATAGTTATTACACACAATGATTTATATACAAAATTTTACAAACAAGCAATATAAAGTTTTCTTTCTAGTCTGTAACTTCCTTGATATCTTATTGAGGGTTCACGATGAGTGAGTTAATTTATGAGTTGATGTAGGTACAATCCGTTTAATGGGGAGTTAGCTAGCTTTGTCCTTCGTTATTCACCAGCCACACACGGCAAGTTTTCCATGATGAAGTTATATAATATTTTAATAAAAAACTAATGTCCGATGAGAATCCACTGAAGTTAAATGATTTGTAATGTTTGAACCTTGTAAATGTTTCTGGTCAAATATCTGAAGTTTTCTGATTGATAAGCCTTATAACAATCACAGTTATAGCTTCCTAAGTTTATAGCACGTTGACTATAGCAAACCAATAATAGATACTCTCTTTGGCGTGTCACATTGGTTATATTTATAGGTGTGTGGAGAGTTTCTGGAAAATTCAGATTACGTAACGATACAAAACTACATTAAGCATTTACATACATGCATATATTGTTGATTCTTACACTCGAGAACCTTCTACAGCTTTAGAGAATAGGTGGGAGTGTAAGTTATGTATGTTTATAAATATAAATTTAATCTAAACAAACATTGATATTAAAATAAATATATAATAATAAATTCATCACAGCTATTAGACAGTTTAAGTACCTTCATAAAAGTTTGTGTTTATTAGGTGATTTCTTTCATGCTTGAACCCCCCACAGTGGAGTAGCAGTAAGTCAGTGGGCTTATAATGCTAAATAATGGGTTTGGGTACCCATGGAGGGCAGAGCACAGAGTAAGTCAGTGGGCTTATAATGCTAAATATTGGGTTTGAGTACCCAAGAAGGGCAGAGCACAGATAGTCCCTTGTGTAGCTCTGTATGTTACAACAAATAAACAATCATGCTTGAGATTAAATTGACTGAAGTTCAGTGTCTTTAATTCTGCAGTGCCTGGAAGTACTCTGTAGCTAGTATTGAAAAAATATTCATTTAAAAAAAAAAAAACAAGTGTAGTACACCTTTAAAAATCTGTCAAAATATATATAACCATTATGATAATTTCACACGTCTAGCTTTTTTTCTTTTTCAAAAACGTAATTATAAATTTTTTTGTCATTCAGGTGTGAGGGATACCACTTTAATCATTAAACTCAAAGAATGTAATTGTTTCCGTTGTATTCAAGAGGGTTAGTTGAAGAGCCAACAAAATTTGTAAACTACTTATATGTTTAATGGAATAATAGCATGACAGTAAATTTTTAATTTCAACTAAGTTAACCTTCTCACTTCAGGGAGCAGGTTACAACCTTCTAGAGTTACATTCAAAATTTAATTAAACTGCTTTATTATCATTGTATGTGAATAAATTTGGCATCAAAACATAATTTCTGTGTGCTTAATTTCTCCTAGCATGATAATTGTGACATTTGTTCTGTAGGTCTTCCCTCTTCTCTTAATTTATTTACTACCTCTCTGAGAAGTACAGAATTTAATGTAAATTACTCATTATGATATAGATATTACTAGGGCAAAGTATAATTTTTATAGCCTTTGATCTTATTTGTTTATAAACTAGAAAATCAGACCCACTTGCCCACCCATTACATTCTCTTTTTCTCAAATTACCAGTAGATCTCTGATGTTTTATACCATATTATTTATAACCAACAGAAAGCCAAAGTTTTAATGAAACAGTTATATAGTCACTTTTGTCCCACCCTGTATTTCTTTTCCTGGTCTAAATACAATTTTATACAGACAAGTATTATAAAGACGTAGTATGGTAAGTGATGTATTTAACACTTATTTATTAGGCCCGGCATGGCCAGGTGGTTAGGGTGCTCGGCTCGCAATCTGTGGGTCGCAGGTTCGAATCCCCATCACACCAAACACGCTCACCCTTTCAGCCGTGGGGGTGTTATAATGGGGCGGTCAACCCCACTATTCGTTGGTAAAAATGTATGCCCAAGAGTAGGCGGTGGGTGGTGATGACTAGCTGCCTTCCCTCTAGCCTTACACTGCTAAATTAGAGATGGCTAGTGCAGATAGCCCTCGTGTAGCTTTGCGCAAAATCCATAACAAACAAACTTATTTATTATTCACTGTGATCCAAGTGTTTGTTTAGTATGTCTGGATGTCTTGGCCACTTATTATTATTCACTGTGATCTTAGGGTTTGTGTAGTATGTCTGAATGTATTGGCCACTTATTATTATTGGCTGTGATCTCAGTGTTTCTGTAGTATGTCTGGATGTATTGGCCATTTTTTATTATTTACTGTGATCCCAGTGTTTGTTTAGGATATATGGATATATTGGCTTCTTATTATTATTCACAATGATCCCCATGATTTTTTAGTATGTCTGGATGTGTTGGACACGCATTATTCACTGTAATACTTTTTTTTTAGTATGTCTGACTGACTGCGTATTAGCATTTCATAAACATGGAATGCAGGGTAGAAGTTTCAAAAACAATGAAATAGTTCAAGAAATTCATGACTACACAAGGACATTCCGCTTGTTAGGCTCAGACAGGTGAGAAATTTATGACTTTTTTAGAATGACTAGTTTTAATGTTAGTTAGATGCATCTGGTAATACTCTCGTGCATGTATTATTTGAAAATTCTTATCAAGAGAATGTGTGTTTAAACCAAATTTCTCCACTATGTAATAACAGTATAAAGTTAGTTAATTTAGAAGAATAATATATAAAGAAGTTAATTTAGTTTTTAATTTATCACAGATGGCAACATTTAATATTATATATTTTATTATTATTATAGATAACTTTGTCACAGGTATCACATTCTTATGCTGTATGGATTTTCAGCAGTTTAAAAATGAATGGTAAACCTTAAGTACTTAGTTTTCATGAGTAGAAAAGCTTGTGTCTTACAAAGATGTATACCACCCAAGCGTATAACTATAGTTTCTGATTTCATATGTTTACAGCCGACCTTTGTTAGTGCTAAAACTTTCATCTATTCTTCTTAACAACAGACTAATCATAATTCGTGTGCATGTTTCGTTGCCAAGGAAGCTTTCAGGCAGTGACTGTTTGTGTAGTTAAACACCTAAAAACCCTTAAGAATAGAAGCTATTACAGATGTAGACAATTTAAGGTTCCAGGTTTGGTTATTGTGTTAATTTCTGTTTTTAGTTGAAGGGGCAGGTGACATCTATAGAGGGTATATTGTATTAGACATGATAAAAACATCTTACAGTTTCTTTTTTTTTAAAAATGTTCCTAAAGCTAAGCAGCCATTGTTTTAAAAGTGATAAAGATAAAAAATTTTGTTATTAGTAATCCAGAAAGATTTATTATGATTTACCTTTGGAAAAATAAATCTGATTTTAGTGTGAAACACTGCAGACCATGATGGTGTTTTTACTAATTGAAAGTAAAGGTCTGATAAGTGAATGTTGCTTATATGTTTCTCTAATGATTTGGTAAATTTATACCTATTGTAACTGACATTTACGAAGTATTTTTTTGCTCAAAAATGATAATTGTTGATAGTAGTAAGTAGAATCCTGTAATTGTCAAACTTCATTACAAAATCAGCTAGCACATTTCACTACTTTATAGCTTTGTGGATAATCAAAAATATGAAATTATATACAGTCTTTGGTCTGTAGTATAAAGGCTTGTAATATTTGTGGGACAATCGGATACGAAGAACTTGCTCGACACAAATCACAGTTACAACATATCTTGATTATATTTAACCAGAACTCTAATTACAATGATTAAACTTGGCTAAAAATGTGATTTAAAAAATTATAAAACACTTTCCATCATTTAACAAGCTACTTTGCCATCATCGGGTATAGTAATTTTTACTTTTTAGGTGTTTTAACATGTCAGACTTGTACAAGTCTTTCTACACACTGTACAAATACTTCTTTTGGTCTTTAAAACAAGTTTAACTAGTGGCCTGTCACATACTGCTTAGAATGCTAAATTTGGCTCCAGGAAATCTCCCTGTAATTGTGGATTGTGACGTGTACCCTTTGGACAGACAGTTCATATAGTCAACTTTGTGCTAAGAGGAAATACCTATAGAAATGATTCAAAGGCTAAATGAAGGAATATATAAAGGGTTGAATATGTTATATTAAAACAAATATCAAAATCAGTAACATCATGACAACCACAGCCAGTATAAAGTCATGGTGGAACATTAAGTATCAGAACTACATTTTGAAATTTGACATTCATAGGTAGTTTGATGTCACCAAAAATTTAATCAATTTTAGGAAGGATGCATAACAGCTCTTTCCAGCATAAAATATTCATACATTCAGGTCATAAAGATGTGTTCAGATTGGAGATTTAAAATTTCCAAGATGTGGAATACCCCCGTGTATAAAGGTATTGAAAAAGGAATATGGATCAATTCTGGGAACCAGGAACATCCAGAAAGAGACCTTTAACAAGTCATACCCCAGCTACAATAAACAAAGTGGTGCATTTTATAACAAATGATAATCTACAAACACAAAGGTTAGTGGCAAAAGCCATCGATATGCCCCAGGCAACAGTATGCAGCATAATCAAGAAGGATCTCCATTTGGAAATGAGGCCAAGGTATGGGTTTACAAGGATAAGGCTTCCAGTCATATATCCCATTCATCAGTCATATACCACAAGCAGTTAGTAAACCAATGGGTATTCGTGCTATTCCATACAAAGATATACCAGTTATGTCTCTGGATGCAGTACCTAGAGATTTCTGTGCCACCAGACTGTTGAAACAAGCACTTTGAAATTGCCTTCCTTATGCAATAGATGTCTTATGAAAAGTATACGGCTTAAGATAGAGCCTTTTTTTAGTAGAAACTATACTGCAGTGCTATTGAAAAGCTGCTTGGACATCAAACAGAGCCTGACCTGATGTGGTAACATGAACTGTAACAACATAGTGTGGCTCCGAAGCTATTTTTTTATATATTGTACTCACCCCTCTGTAATAAATAATAAGTTTACGTAAGTTTGTGTTTTGTTGTATGAATTCAAATTAGATTTTTATAAGCATTTGAGATTTTTCAATGTTTTCAGTTGAAGTATCTCTTCAAATTTGTATTTTTTGCTGTTCTTTCAGAATGTTAAACCCTGTTTTTTTTTTAAATTGTGAGTTGGTAAAAAAGTAAAGTAGTTTAATTTTTTGTGTTGCTGATACACTTGTAAAATAATTTAAAGTATCCTTGAGATGTTATTGTTACTGATATGTTTTTATATGCAGAGTTATTAGTATAGCCTCTTTGAACACTTACCAAGTTGATACTTTTGAAGTTAATAGTATTCCTGATGATGAAACATGCATATTGAGAGAAAATTGACAATTGCTTTACAGGATTGTTGTGTTAGAAAGCAGACCAACAGATGAGCCCAACAGCCCTTCAAACCTGTATATACTGGCTGGGCATGAGAATAGCTACTAGCATCGTTTTATGCTTTTAAAGCTGCAGATTGTGGTTACCACCTTCTACCATTTTGTTATGTTATTCTACAAAAAATGCCAGTTTCCTCTTCAAATTAGAACTGGCAAGAAATTCGTAAATGTGCCCTGAAGATGAACAGTTTGCTCAAGGAATGATTAAAGTTTGTTTAGCCACAAGTACAGATGGGAGTCACTTAATATAGGCTGTGTGAAAGTGGAGAACAATTGGTTCAAGTTCTGAGTCTTTGAATTTTTTTTAAATGCACAAAGATATGTATAGATGGTTAACTGATAAGTGGCTTAATATTTAACATTGCAGAGTGCAAAGCCTGTGCTTTGAGTTGACTGCACAATAACTAAATAGCATAAGGCCAAAGACTACTTTCATTTGTTGTACAGTGTAAAGTGGAGTTTTTCACCTTAACCTGATTATTTATACATCTTGATTGTGTATGTAGAGGTCTTGAATGTTTTTATCTCTATGTTATTATCAAATGTTGTGTAAATATCTAGTAGAGAATTATATTGGTGGATATTATCAACTGTATGTAGTTTAAAAATCACTTCCTGTTACTATATTCAGTTTTCTGAACATGATGAGCATAAAATATATGATTGTCTATTTGTTGTATATAAGCAGAACTGTTAAGTTACTTTTTTGACACATTTGTGTGTACCATTTAAATACATGATCTATGCAGAGAGTAGAAAGTTTAATCTTTATTTCTTGTGAGTGTTTTTGTGCAATGTTTTTGCCTCTTTCCATATAAATTGCTGACTTTTGAAATTATTAAAGAAAGAAAAAATATATATATATTTATTGAACTTGGTTTAGAATAGTGTATATATATATAAAAAACATAACATTTAAGTTTCTACAAGTAGATATTAAAGGTTAAACCAGACAAAAAAGTAACTGCAAAGTTTCTTGCTACTCAGGTTTTACATCGAATTATGTATGATTAAAAGCTTTAATAGTAAGAATGTAAAGAGACCTTGTTGACATCAGTATGTTATTTATACTTAGAAAAATTTCATGTACTGAAGAATTTAAGCTTGTAGGAATACTAATTAATTTTTCACAAATTTTGACAAAATCTTTTAATAAAAAAATTAGGAAGAAAACAGATTGTGGTCTGTGTGCCAAAAGTCAAGATTTTTGTGTCTTTATGTTAAGGCAGTTTTCAGGTTTTGATTCAGCTTTATTTCAAGTCTTTTAACCTCATGATTAGAGCAATAGATTTAAAAAGAAATGAGTATTAGGTATATTTTGATAAATTGTTTTTTATTTGACAATCTGATGTTTTTTTTATGATCTATCTACTCTGTTTCTTCGTAATATGTAAGTTAATTGATATTGATAAATTTCTATTTCCTAGACATTTCTCTGTCAAAATTAGATCCTGTTCTTTTATGACTATAACTCAGTGCTCCTTCGAGTGGCTTTGAATGAAGTGTCAGGAATTGTTCTGTTTTTGCTACTCCATGTATATAGACTTTAATTGAAGAGCAACATAACCCTAACCTAATCAAATTGAATATTCTGTGGCTCATCCAAGTACTTCTTGACATAGGTTATTTATAAAATTCAGAGAATAAAGAACTGTATCTGTTTCATAGTACACTGCAGAATTAATTTATAAAACTTAAGAGATGAATTTCTATCTTGTATGCACAACAGCAAGTAAAAATTGTGTACTGAAAGCTCACATTATTTTATCAGCTTTTGATGTGCATGTACTGTGCTCTCCAGTAATATTTTAAGCTTCCTTACATAAACAATATTATTTTTCCCGTACTATATAGTCTTAACAACTCTTGCCAAGTGAAACACATCCATATTTGTGGGTTTTCTATTCTGTCATAAATGGTATGATTGAAATAAGTAAAAGTGCAAGTACTTCTTGCAGTACTTTTTTGTAACCCTAAAGGAATCACGAAACTTTGTAGCTAATATTTAGATGAAATTCTAATTTGTCTTGTGCTATGATATCAGAAAAATATGAAAATGTCATACAGTAATAATACTTTTGAAGTGCCCTTCATGATTGATACCATCTAAGAAATTTCAAGTTCTGTTGAAAGTACTACAATAATTACGAAGATTTTCAAACAGAAATGTACCTCATTGAGTATGTATTTGTAGTTTTTTTAGTTTTCAGAACACAGAAATATTTGATTTACACAGAGATCTATTGATAATTTCAAATGTGAAGAATTTTTAATTTGACACGTGTGAAAAATGTAATACAGTCGTCATAACATATGATCTCAATACTGTCATACTGTAAAATATTATGAGTGAATATCTTCTTCGGGCCTTTGATCTCCATACGTTAGAGGTCAAATACCTTTAACTAATCACATCTCCAGTCATATGATCTCTGTGACATGTTATTGTGAAAAAAAATTACTATTCTAACATGCATATATTTATATATAGTGTGTATGTATGATCTCTCTCTACTGTATGTTGACAAAAAAAGCCATTTTTCAAGTAATACACATTCAGATCTCTATTTTATGTGCCTTTTTTTTCTTTTTCTTTTAAAATCATTCTTTGTGTAATTCCATCAAGATCTCTAATATCTGCAGCTTTTTACTGAAGAAAACCCATTAACGTTATATTTCATATCCAGTTCTTTTAACTAGATAAGAGTGATGAGAATAAGGAAGACAAGAGCTAAAGTATGGAAAGGTATATATATATAGTTTCATGATCTTTGAGCAAACTCTAAGAGTACTTGGATGTGCTGCTACAAGTAGTGAAGAGCTTAAACAAGTTATGGTGTGGGCAGAAAGAACAATGCTTGATTCTGGCTGTAGTGTATATATATTGATGGTCTTTGAGAAGTTTGCATTCTAATTTTGTTTTAAACATATAAACAAGTGTTATTTATGTTTGTTAAAGTGTTAACTACTATAGCGAATAGCAATATTATTGTCATTAGAGGGCGTTGAGAGGAACTTTTTACTCTTTATGATAAAAGCAAATAAATGAAAGGTAATGACCATTTCAAACTCCTAAACCATTTTTGATGGGAGTGGGGGGTGTAAAGTAAACTTAAAAGCTGAAGAAGTTAAAGCTGTAATTTACCTCTAGATATAAATACCCACTTTTATGTTTATTTTGTCATGAGTATTACTTCTTTTGTGGTTTATAAAGATTGTATATGTCTACATTAATTTTACAAAAAATTGTTTGTATGTTTAGAAAAAGACCATTAAGTTGTGTTACCAATTGAATAACTTTTTTTAAAAATAATGCTAAAGTGCTATTTAAGGTCATGACATAATCAACTTAATTATTAACTGTGATTAAGGCTTCCCGTTATTGTTATTTGTTTGATTTAATATTTATACATCATATTTGAATGGTTTATATAATATATTTGGACTTAATGAATTGTTATTGTCACATTTAAAGCTAAATGGGATAGTCATATCAGCAATGTCCTGTCTAGCATTTTTAATGACATTTACATAGCTCTTGGTAATATTAATACACTAGTTTATAATAAAAAAAAAATTATATGTATACGTGTGTGCGTGCGTGCGTGTATGTGTGTGTGCAAGAGGTACAATTATAATGTTAGTGAATGTAGACTTTAGAAAGCTAATTAACTTTTTTTAACAATAAAAATATTTTAAAGCTGTTATTGATTTTTTTTTTTCAAGTCACTTAATTCAGGTTAATTATTTTGCTATTTAGCAGTGAAATGGGTTGTATGATGCTGATAATTTTTCATTACTCTAACCCTATCTTTGTATATCAGTCTTAATTTTTTTATGTAGCACTGATAAGTACTTAATTATATACTTCACAGATGTTTTTCCACCAGAGTTATTAGATAGATATTAGTATGTTAATCAAAAGGGATTATCCCAAATATATAACAAAAACAGTTAAGTAAAGAATGCTCAATATTTAACTAAGAAAGATTTTTTAAAAATGTATACTTCTGCACACCAAGCAGTGATATACACATTAGAAATGTGATAACAGAAGTCACCATCTTAAATGTCAATTTTAACAACTTGAATAGGAGTTAGAAAAAGAAAATTCTCTTTAAGATCACTCGCGTGTCATTATATCTACAAAAAAAAAGTCTTAATTTGAATGTCACTTTACAACAAAGTAACCATTATATACTGTTATGCAAGCAAACAAGTTTGAATAACATTGTAGTCACTGTGAGACGTTAAGAAACAACATGGACATTAATGTTTATCTTTTTATATATATATGTTTTGTAGCAGTCAAAAGACAAAAAATAGCTGCTATGGTTACAGAAGTGTGCATGATGTAAAAGCAAAGCAAATGTTACTTTAAGCAAGATTTGTTTTGGGACTAAATATTTTTTACTTAAGTTGCTCAAAACTATATTGTATCTCAGTCGATATTCAAGAGTTTGACTTATATAAGTATCTTCTTGTCTGTCAAACTTGATTGTCGGGTAAACTTAGAGCAGTTTTGTTAGATTTTATACTTTTTATAGCTGCATAACTCATGTTTTATTTTAAAACTACAGAACAGACTTTGTTACTAGTCAGTGCTATTTCACTTTTAAAATGTAGTAACTTATTTATCATGATCACTTTTTTTACACATTTAATTTTATAGTAAAGGGTTGCACACAAATGTGATGTTTATTTATGTGATGTCACAGCATATATGAATGTTCTGATCATGCTTTTAAAGTCAAGCATTTTGGCTCAGATCTTTCTGATTTAATTTGAACTCTAAATTTAAAAAATGGTTAAATGCTTTGTCTTATTTGATGTATTTACTATGATTAAAATTGTCTTCGAACCACATTGTAATGTTTTGGTGTGTTTAAAGGCCTTTTATGACCATGAATGGCTGATAGTTTCCAGGTTAACCTATCATTGAAATTCGTTCTGTTTACTGTAAAAAAATTATTAGAGATATAATCAAAAAATATGATATGACTCAAAGAACAGTGTAGCATAAATCAAGACAAAGTCAATAGTTTAGAGTTCCAGTACAGTGTTTAAAGCATCTTGGGGATATCAAAGGAGGGGGAATTAAAGGTGTCGCCCAGTAGGGGTATCCTTTGAGACTGGGAGGTCATGTGACCTATGACATCATGGTTCCCTAGAATGCCACCAAAGAGCAAATTAATAATTGGATGTGGACATGCCCCACTTTTGATGATGTCGTAATGAAGTCTGACTTCAATTACAAATTTCTTAGATATGATATTAGTTCTACATAATTGTCATGGTAAACTTTATAGTTTCACATCAGGATCTATTTGTTCAATACTAAACAAGTATTTGAATACATACAGTTAATATTTTATGTTTCATTGACCATGTGTATGGTGTAATTCACAGTTTACATATGTCTATGACTACTCATACACTTATTTATCAAAAAATCTATGAAGTCCAAAAAAAAGGGGGATGTTTTTTTTTCATATGAACAAAACATTAAAATGTAAGATATATATATATGAATCAAATTAACTAATACGCTACAGTTTTACTTCATGGTTTATGCTAAATTAACTAACAATCTAAGTCCTTAAGAAAGGATTTTTTTGATTTGCATAAAATTTTTAAACTAAATATGTACTTGTTACCTTTGACTTACAGTTTATTTATATGACTAGTCACACACAAGTTTATCTTACAGGTACACAGATCTGAAAAGATATCCCATCTATTACACTAGCTAAATACAATATGGTATCTCAAAGGAAAATGGATTTTTATAAGCAGTATGACCATTTGTATTTAATTTATCATAACCTTTATAGCCCTCAAAAAATATGTTTTTGTGCATCTGAGTTTAGTACAAGATATTAAACTCTATAACAATAATTTGCACCAACTGAATAGTGAAATATTCAACACTGATATTATGCTTTGTTAATGGTTTTCTAAACAATTGTCCTATCATAAAACAAATCCAATCACATATGTAGCACATCCAAAAATAGATTTTTTTTTTATAATATAAACTAATGCCAGATTTGGGTTCAGCAACCCTGAAATCCTACTCCCAGTTCCCATCATGTGCATTTGATATCCCCCTTCTCTGGCAAAGGGGTCGATTTAGATAAGGACATCCTGGGTCTGCCTGTAAAATTTTTGTCCTGCTAACTCCAAAACTGTGGGAGGAGTTCATGGACAAATAAATAAATTCACATACAACCTGCATTAATATTGGATGATGCTAGCTCTGACTTGCTTATAGCAGTTGGGAATGATTAATATATCCAGGAATAATGACACCACAAAATGCAGAGTCTGATTTACACTTGATGCCTTTTCGATAATAAACGTGTGTATACATAAAATTATTATTTCATTTATTTACTATTTCAGTAGCATACTTCAGGATCTATTTTCATTATTACCCATATACTAGTTTAAGTTACACTTAGATGATCGTTTTCCATGTTAATTTAAGACATTGAAACTCTAGATATTAAAAACGTCAACGAAAGTTTTATGTCCAAAAAAAAAGTGGACAATACAAGTGTGTATTAAATTCGTCATTATTTAACAAAAACAAAATGTTTAAGTAAAATTAATATTTTTGTATCGTGGAGTTTTGTTGCAGTTTTGCTATTTGTAATAGCATATTTAATGATTTACTCACATTATTATCTATATATTCGTTTAATTTGCGAGAATACATAGTCCCGAAAAGCACTTTTAAACGTAAAGTTATAAATAAATTTAATTCAAGTCACCTCTATTTTTTCTATATTGTTACGTCTGTGTGTTCGTTTATTAATTTTCCGTAGAAATTCTTTCCATGAAACTTCAGCGATACAAGTCCTTTCTTAAATAAAACTAGTTTATTCTTTCTCAACTCAACTTTGCAGTACACTTAATTTCCACAGTCACTTTAACTTGAACACACGCTATAATTCACAACGATTCACGCTCATTACATATGGTCACTACCGCGATTGACTCAATTGTCCGTCTCTGTCTGTCTGCAATTAATTCATTTCGCTTTATCTTGCGCACTTGTATACAAGAATAGAGGGCGCGTAGAAAAGACCAGAGTTGCCACGAACAGACATGAACCTTCTAGAATATTATGACGTGTTACTAGCGTCACGTGACTTCCGCTGTCGTAACAATATTATTGTGTAAAAGTCGATGTTTTAATCCTTTCATAGGTGCTCATCCCAGTTAAACATCATAAATGCATGCGAGTAAAATCACAGACTGGTATCACACACATTGAAACATTTATTGACATAAGAAAACTTCAAGTTTTAGGTAGGGGATTATGCTTTTAGAAACAATTGTTTAAAATTATAGCTAGTCATTTATAGTAAACCTAAAAGATGGGGAAAATGAAAACCCATCATTTTCTTTCATAACAAAAGTTTGATAATTAACTTGGTACACTTTTTAGCATTGTTTGGCACAAAGGTCAACGATGATGCTATTGATAAATGGTAAATACTAACCGAAGACCTAAAACCACCATCTGCGCAATACACCCATATGATAATCAAGTCAGTTACGTAGAAATTTATAAATTCACCTTGCAATAGAACGAAATATGTCTGTAATGCTCATTGTATTTTGTGTGTTAAGACTCGTCATTCTGTTCCCGTGCTTACCACAGTTTTTGAGAACATGTATTTAGTCCATTTCATACTACAAACGTCCATAAAAATATAGTTTGTGTTAATCTTAGTTTATCATTCACTGTTTAAAATTAAGTTAATAATAAGGACACCCAATATTTTAGTGATAACTACACACTACTCGTCGCCAAATGAGTAAACAAAAAGTGAAGGTCACGTACACTTTGTTCATCCGAGCAATTCCACTGAATGCATACAATTTCCTTTGTCCTAGGTTATGATATAGACAAAGTTTGTTTGGTTTTTGAAACTGGTGGATTTAAAGTGTGATATGTTCTTTGTTGTTTTTTCCAAAATGAAGAATCATTTGATGGACATCTTCAAATTAACTACTTTGGAGATCCACCGTGGGTTTTTATAGAATTTTATTTTATTTGTTCAATCACATGATCGAACATCTTGTCCTTTTCTTTTCCAAGTATTATTGCATTAAACTATCGGAGTTCCACAGAAACGTCATCATGATATCCAGGTAAGGATTCATCCCAAAGATGGGGAACATGATGGCTACTTGTGAAGAAAATGGTTCAGTTTAATCGTTCAATTATAATAAATGCTTCAAAAACGTGGTATGCAGGCATACCATGCATTTTCTACCTGCTTACCTAAATGTAGACTTTTTCACAGTTTTTCATTTATTGTTATCCAATGCAGGTTTTGCATAACACGTTGTTCAAGAAAGTCATTAAGTTGTTCTCGTTCTTCTGTCTTTATTCCTTTGTCATCCTATGGAGATTACACCTGTTCTGCCCATTGGTGGTTAGCTGTAATGTGAAACATTGTGCAAGAATTTCAACACCTACTTTCCTCCAATGGTAAGCCATATGATATCTCAAGGTTAAAACCTCCCTTGTGTTTAAATTGAATGACCATTATGCGGGTAGCACTAAGTGCTATCAGTAAAACCGACATTTCCCAGCAAGTAAGAAACGTTAGATTTAAACATTGGTATATTGGATTTTGAATGAGTTGGTTAGTAGAAATACATCGCGAAGGGGGAAACGCCAGTTTAATTAATTCATAAACAAGTGAAAGGCGACTTTCCAGCATCCAGAAACAACTACACAAAATGTGTTTTGGTGTCTTTGATATAAATATTGTTTTCATCGTGTGTGACATCGTGCTTAAACCATTTATATCTTTGCTCAAGCTCCGTTAGTTTTAGCTAAATTCAGTATTACTTCGTGATATATCCTTCCGTTATATAGTGGATTTACCTTATTTGCTCTTTTGGGAAATCACTTTGACGTGAAAATGCTAAAAACATTAAGATGACTAAAGAAGCTTGTAAGGTTATTTCAAGTGTTTTTCCGATGTAGTATTTTAAGATTCGTTAACCATTTGTTAGATTCTTGGAAGTGGAGGTTTTCTTGAGTTGCAATATGCCCGAAGGCGGCGTTTTTTGTATCTTATGTTATCGAAGTCTAAATATAGGTCTTTAAAATTAGGGTTACCGTGGTTATCTATTAAATAATATCTACATTGTCATGCGGGTTTCAATAGTTCTCAAATCTTAAGACATGACAAATCAAAGTCCAGATACAGGGTTTTAAAAGGTTATTGTTGTGGGCGTATATTGTGACAAAACAAATGGGTTTATTATTGGAATTTTATTACAAAATAAAAGTTGTCTTGAATATAGTCGAAGGTGGGGTTAAATATAATATGAGAACAATGTTTTTAGATAATCCACGTTATGATATAATATTTTATACACAATGCAAAAAACTTAAAATATATTCATTAATGAATAGCTACAGAAAATAAAATACGTGAAAATATTAGTTATTATATTTATATGTTGTAAAATCAAAGTTAATATCTATAGAATAAAACCAAAGAGCATTTGGATTACTGGGTAAGATACATTGAATGATTTCATTAAAACATTGTTACCAGAGAAATTACGTGTCCTTTGTCAGTATGTTGTTAGATGCTCCCTCGATTTTAGATTCCACTATCTAAATAGAGAATGGCCAGGTGGTTAGGGTACTCGACTCGCAATCTGAGGGTCCCAGGTTCGAATCCCCGTCCCACCAAACATGCTCGCCCTT